GTCAAGCTGTTTTTCAACTACATTGGCTTTAAAGTTTCTTCTCTGTTTTTGTTTTATAGCCTTTTTGCTTCCAGATGATTTTTCTGTATTCTGAGAATATATTGCATATTTTGTAGATCTCTTATTATTTTCCATTTCATCTGTCAAAGGACAACTTGTACCCAGTTTTTGCTGACCAGAGGGCTGAGAATTTTCTGCTGGGTGAGCTTTACAGGAACCTTTGTCACTTGCCAAAGTCTTAGGTGATACATTGTGATGTTTTTCTCTTGACTCTTTACTTTGAAGGAGTGCAGTGCTCTCAGCAGGGGTTATTGTGCGTTGTTTCACAGGCCCAGCTTTTCTTGGTATTGTAATCCACGATCGATCAGCAAAACTTCTATCTGATTCATCAATTACAAATTCATCCTCTATCAACTTCGTATCATTTGGAGGAGGCAAATGAGGTGGAGCAGTTGCTAAATGCCTAACAATGGGACTGAAACAGGATGTTACTTTAACAGCTCAAAAAAATGAAGCTTTTATCTTTGTTTCATGAAGAAAATAAAATTATCTATCTAGGAAATAAAATCTATACATCTTTTAAATAGCAGTTTACAAATCTCCTCAATTTTCCCTTAATCTTATAAGTCTTTCCCTCCTTTTACATTTCTATAATATCTGATCACCCTGATTCATAATATTAATGCGATCACAAAAATTTAGAGCTAGAAGAAAACCTAGACATCAACTAATTTGATCCCCCCACCCAGCCATTTTATATACTAAAAAACCAAAACCCAGATATACATGATTATAACCTAGATACACTGATTCACAGTTCAAAATGAAGGGCCCTATTACATATGATATTATATTACATTATATGTTTGTATAGGTGTCTTTTGGGGTCTGAATTTCTTCACATCCAAAACAACAGTAGATAAGAGTATTTCTAAGAAACCTCCAAGTCTAATATTCTAAGGGAACATTACTAAATTATAAGAGATTAGGGATGATTTCTTCTAATTTTTTTCTATATACCATAGGACTTCATACATAGCAACACCAAATACATAGATGTTGAATGCAAGGAATGTAAAAATGATTCATATCACTAAACTATATTATATAAAAATTCATTCCAAGTTTAAATATTTTACATACATTTTTGTATATGTTTTAAGATTACAGTCATAGTATTGAAATAACTGATGTGTATCTAGAAAGGTAGCATAAGCACAAAAGAAATATAGTGCCATAGAAACAGGAAAAAATAAGACAACTCTTACTACAAAATACACCATGCTACACAATCCGTTATAATTAGGTCAAATAATGCTTCCCAACTTTCTCCACACTCCTCGCCCAAAATTTATTTATTAAGAGAAAGTCTAGGTCATGAATGTTATCATCATTTCCCACATGTAGCAGTATAACAAGATAAAGAATAAAATAATTAGAGAATTTCGATCTTATGGGTTATAATTTAACATTAACACTAATTCCTAAATATTTAAGAGCATGTACATATTAAGTACATACAAAGCAATCCATGCATTTAGTGGGGCGGTAAATAAATCATGAGCAGTACATTGTAATTAAATTAAACAGTACTTTTTCCAATTAGTTGGGGAAATTTTCTAAAGAAGGAAGGAATTATTCAAAGGACGGTAATCTGATGGACTGACGACTCATTTTGCATTTCCCTGCTTTTTATGATAACAGCCCCAAGCAAACCACATATTGCAGTGAGATATACAAAATCAAAAACTTAGGGTAAACATCCAAAGTCCAAAGCTAACATATTCACTACTATTTCTGCCTTTTTCACTTGGGTAAGGAGGCTTAGGTATTTTTAG